AAAACGATCGCAGTCAAACGGGTGAGGGCCAAGTGGGGGGGGGCCAAGCGAGGGGGGGGCAGGTGAGGGGGGGCCAAGTGGGGGAGGTTCAAGTGGAGGAGGGCCTGGCGGATAGGATCCAGGCCCAGCTGGTGGAGGAAGAAAGGGAGGTGGTGGGTACTCGGTCGGGTGGGGGTCATCATCAGTATCGGAGGCAATTTCGTCTGGCTTGACAGGAGCACTGGACACAGGGCTTTTCCCAGGGACAACGATGCCCTCCTCCTCAATTGCCACCTGTGATGCCGATTTGTAGGTGTTAACGGATCCCCTTTCTTTTGTCCTATATATGTAGGGGTTTTACCTTGGGCGATGGCATAGGAGGGCTAGCCTTCCGACGGCCCCCCTTCCCAGAGACTGGGGTTGGTGGGTGCGGAGGTGGAGGAGGAGGTGGAGGTGGAGGTGGAGGATATCGAGGATGTGGGCCAACATCTGGGATGCGGAACCGAGATGGAGAGTTAAGATACGGTGGAGGCGCGGCTTCAGCCAGTGCAACACTTGCCAGGTACGCCGAGGCAAGCAAAAGGTTCTTCATGCTGAAGGGAATCCGACAAGTAGTAAAAAAATGCAAAAGGCCTATGAGAAGAATCCACCCCGCGAGGAAGGATTAATCACAGGGCTTTAAGGTATGGTCGAAGACTTGAGCGATCAAATTCTCCTATACACTGCTGGGTCATTCCCTCTTCTTATGATCAGACAGGAAGAGGATTATGCAATGCATACGATATCTTTATCTAGGCTATGATAGTATATTTACAGCCAATTCGTGGCGATCGCACTCCTGTGTCCACACAGAAGCCTGGCGAGTCCTCAAAAAATTCTCTTCTCTTCTCCTAAACTAAGTCACGGATGAACATTCTCGTTACAGTCAGATCCTCAATACCTATGACCCAAACTCAAAATTCAGCTCTAGTTTATCCGCGACAGAAGAGCGAGGATGTGGTTATATCAGTGGTCATAAGCACGCCATGATTTCCTTATCTGTAACCTAAAGTGCTACCTTGATCCTAAGATTCCCGGTCTTGGAATCATTTCCATCGCGGGTCGCAAAAGTATCCTACCCAATTCATGATGCTATTCTTGCGCGTTTGATTCATCAGTACCTATGTCACTTAGTAAGGGACTGTTACTCTCCAGGGACACAAATGTCTCAGGGAAATTAAATTTAGGACCCCTTGTCAGCCCTACTGACAGCGCCGATTTGCTCTATCCGCTCCTATAATGGTATCGCTCATCATCGGGTGTTTTGGCCAATAAAACGCATTACTAGCCACGGTTGCAGCAATGGTTAAATGGCAATGAACGCCTTAAAACCGAACTGTAACACTGGCTACTTTTATCTTGTGCACTGTACACAACACTAAGAAATCCAAATGGAGTTCTAACTGGCCCGGATATGTTTCTACCTTTTCTCGTTTAACAATCCTCCTTGCCGTTCTTTTGTTAATATTAACCTTTATAGCTATAGCAATAAAGCTCAGTCCGGCATGCCAAATGAATGCCGAAATCATAGCTCTCTTGAGAAGAGGAGTATGAGTAGCAGACCTATGACCTTAAAGCATTTTTAACGGTCTCTATTTGCTGACTTTTGACTTGCTGGTATGGTTTTTGGTTATCGTAGTAATAGGAACTTTGATTTTCGCCACAGGGATGGGGGGTGACTCTAAGGTGCATGTACGAGTAGTCCAGGTCCTTGAGATTCAAGGTTGTCCGTGATAGGTTGGAACTGTGGCCCCCCGAGGTTTCCCGATGCATTTTACAGGCAAAAATGGCCGATGATGAGCGATATCCTTATAGGAGCGGACAGCAAACCGGTGCCGTGAGTATACAGAACTGTATTTTTACTCCCCTTTCGTAGTGTCTTGGCACAACTCCGATCGGTTGCAACGGAATTTTTGTTCCATCGGAGGACCCGCCCCTAGGCCATTTGCACCGTACCGGATCTGTTTCGGGTTTTCCGCACATACCGAGTGCTATAGTAGCAAGAACGCGAGTAATGAATATCAATTAGCGTACCATAGGCCTAGATCTCGCGGACACTGAACCTTGGTTCAAACATAGTATCTGGTTTAGGCAGGTTCGGCGGTACAGTCTGTTCCGGGGTCGCGGGATTCCAAAGTTGCGGAGAATTTGGCAAGTTTTTATGGTCTGATTGACCGAGATTTGGTGGTGGTGCCTATCTTCTGTGGAGTCTCGCAGTGCTAGAGTCCGTAACGCTGGAACAGGCTGTATCCAGAATATCAAACCACAGACCCAAACCCAAGGATTACCAATAAGGTAGTCGTGCCACGGGGGGAAGCGAATCACGAGTCAAGTAGCGTGTTGATCCTTTAAGTCCACCCTCTCTGATCTCAACAGAAATTTCGGTCTAAACCACAATAGACTTAGCAGGGTAGGGTAGCGAAATAACGAATACCAGTTAATGAGATCCATCAAGCTCAGACCCCTCAAGTTATACAGTACTCTGTCTGGATGGCACTATTCCTCCTCAGGGTATGTTCGGGAGACAGAAAACCGGACAAAATTGCCACCAGGCTTGGTGCTGCCGTTCACTGTTGGCTGTATGGGAAGTTAAGTTAGCTGTGATGCTAGAGCATCTTCGCCTAGAATAACGCCAGGCACAGAATGAGAATCGAAACCTACGGTAGTTTCTCACTAAAATTTGGTGCCTGGCGGTATTCTTGGCAAAAACCAGCGAACAGTTAGTAAGTTGCTTGTGTAAGTCAAATGCGACCCCATATTGCTTCAAATGAGAAAAGGGAGAGAGGAGGGAAAGGGGCATAACTTAGGCTATGTTATGCTCGCAATAGTGGTGCCTAACACCGTTCCCCCGCTCATGTCAGTGAAATCGCGCCCCTTCCCCCGTATTTGATTGAACCTCCTGGGGCATTACCACCAAAAAAAGAAACGCGACTTCAACCCAATCCAGCGACTTGGGTAGGTGATCCCAGCAGACCAAGTGGGGAACTGCGAGATGCACACCGCAAGACACCTATTGAGGGGTTGGGCTCAAGACCTTCCTCTGAAGGCAAAGCTTCGAACCTTGGTTTTCTGGTCATTCCTACAATCCTCGAGTTTCATAATAAGTTAGCCATGGTTTGGTGTAGTGCCGAACGCCGGAACTATTTTCAAAGTTGCAAGATTGGTTGAAACCACAGGTTTCTGCCCGGCTTTATCCGTCCCCGAACACGCCCGTAATGGACCGAGGTACTCGAAAACAAGCAACCCGCTCGCTAATCCACCTTAATGAGTAGTTTGTTCTGGCCTGCCCCTATCGCCCAGTTCTCTTCTTTCCCTCTGTCGTGTGATGGTGTCGTAAGGTTCTTGTACTGTAGTGTTTCGACAATATCACAATGAAGAAATCTATCTCCTCTCCTCTTCCTTAACGGCCCTGGGTTAAATCGCGCTCACTGACCTTAGGCATCCGTAGAGAAGGAGATTCAGCTGCAAATTTTGTAGAACTGATATTCCCTTGATCCTAGTAAGCGGGTAAGCCGAAGGTTAGCCAAGTGTGATTAAGGGATCCGGAAGGGATCTTCAACAAATCGATAGTAGTCTCAAACATCTGCTACCCTTCGGGTGGGAGCCGCAAGATTGAGAGTACCGGTAGGTGGTGCTTGAGTCGCAGCACTGAAGTTGAACTTTTCTTTTTGCGCGCTACGGCCGAGGGTGGCCGGGGAAGACACAGCACCGATGGGGCGCCCTAAGTGCATTGAGAAGTATATAGTGTGCGAAATATGGAAGCGAATACGGTGGGTTTATTCCCATGACTCTCAGGGTCCTTTCCTCCATTTTATAGCATCACCCTCAAGGGCCAGATAAAGTAGAGATACAGGGTTTCAGTGTTGTCAATGATAACCTGCCACTGTCCTCTATTTGTCCCCTAATCATCCCTTGTAGTCAAGGTCCACTTCAGTCCCTTAGTGCAAACAACCATTCATTACCTTGCGGAAACGATCCTTCCCGAAAGGAAGACAAGCCTTTAGATTCTCTGGTTAGACTTGTTACATAGCTATAACATAATGGAGTGAGCACGATATAGTTCACCTCAATTTCAGACTGAACAATTATACACGGCTCCAATACCCTTTCTGGCAGGGGAACACCCACGAATCCTTGGCGGCCACTCTGAAAATAAAGCGCCACTATAATCCGTTATTCAGGTCAGCTAAGATGTAAGATTTCGCAATACCAGCTTGTAGGGTTAGTTCCATTGATGGCCCCGTATTCTGTTGAACCCTAGTGCAGCGCTGCAGTGTCCCCAACATTCCTTCTATCATACTGATGAGATTCAGCTTTTTTTTTTTGATTGCTGGCAAAGAGATTAAATTCTTGACTATAGGGCACTAACCGACGGAAATTGCTGTTCGCTCACCCGATTTACATTGGATGACACCAAGAGTTCTATTCATAGATCGGAGAACTAAGCATGGGCTTTGGTAATGGTTTCAGCATCTCCCAAGATGAAGTTGATAACTGAGACCGCAGCATTAATATCTAGCTTTTTCGGTAACCCCTTTGAACTGCCAATACAAAATGTACAGAGCGACAGTGTTAGGCGGTTAAGAGATTAACTTATGGGGTAAAGTTAAAGTTAGGAGAGAAGGAAGGGAAGCTACCCGGCCTGGCTTTCAGAAATGGGGGCTTACCTCACAAGTATGATAGCTTAGTAGACTTCCCT